TGTTAGCTATATATACAGTTCATATTATAGCGAGACATTTTATTACGCGATTCTGATTGAACGATGAGATATCTGCGCGTTATTAATACATTGGTACATTAAACTGATTAAACAATGTTAATAAAGTATTTTGTTATAATTGTGCGTTTATTGTTTGTATTATTGCATGAACAAACATCCTTCACTCCTTATGCATTTGATGTTGAAGAATGTTGAATTTATGCGCAAATGAATATATCAATACTGTGTTGGGTACGTTGTTGTCGGGGCAACCGAAGCTATAACGTCCATCGGTCTGGACGCACTCGGTCATTTATTATTACGTTTATAGCGCAGGGTATACAAGTGTTTGGCAAGTTCGAAAGGCGTTTTTCATTTTTGGAAAGACGGGCGCGAGACTCGTTGCGGAAAAAGCTCATTATGAGTGAAAACGTTAAATTTATCGTGACAGAAGTAAATAAATTATTAGGACGAAATTACAACCTGATCGGATTCAACGCCTTAAATGCCGAGGATTTATTGCAGGTATCTTTCTGCTATTTTATCTCATCGCGGCACTTTCGAAAAACATTCCACTTTTTCTCGCAGATATTATGCGGTGTTCTGATGAAGATACAACAGCAAGATGGTTCGGATGTCGATATCAAGTTGGATTCGCCGGAAGAAAATTCCATATATATTTTAACAGCCCTTCGAATACTTAATTACCAGCCCGATGTGGATCCCGTGACATTTAGGTGACAATTAGATTTCAGATACTTTGAGCGAAGTGCGTTAATATTTTTCTTGTGTCTTTCAAAAGACACAAATAAAATAATAAATATATAATGCAAAAGATATAAATAAAACTAAAGGATAGTAAAAGTAGATTTTTGCACTCTTTAAAAATAAATTTACGGTGATAAAAATTATTCTAACGATTGCATTTAGTATCAAAGAGAAAGAAAACACACATGTAGATATATTTTATATATAATTATATAAAAAAAAATTCTTCCGGGTACTTCTAACGTTGTTTTTCGTTTAGACAAGGTTTAATTCGAGGCGAAATCGAAATTATTCATCCTATATTGACATGGCTCCTGACGCATATCGACGTAGTTCGGAAAAGAGCGTATCTGTCACGGTTTCTCGTCAAGGTAAGATATCGAGATTGCTTCGCGAGCACGTGTGCCATGCGTTTGCATAATTAAATAACATAATAAAAAAGGAAATTAACCGACTAGCAAAAATTCCTAAACGAAAAGTATTATTCTTATTAGCTTGACATCCCGTCTGAGTATCTGGGAGATTCGGAAATATCCCTTTTACACGAGCAGTACTTGTCCCTCGTCGACAGATTTAAGACAATTCATAAAGAAAGAGAGATAGGAAAGAAGGTATGTGTAATTGTTTATGTTGTCTTCCCGTTTCTCTCTCGTTTCCATACACGAATAATGAATTTTTTTTCTCATTCATTCAGGATGTTGAAAATGCCGTTGAGCTCGCAACGGATCTGCAAGCAATGGCAAAGGAAAAGGAGGTGTGTAACAGATGTTTCTGTAATCTTAGCTACATGATGTATAAAAATATTCCAAGCTCCAATTCGGAATAACGCGAGTCTCGGTTCGGCGTTGATGTTAGAATCGATATTTTTTTGTCATAAACGCAGGCAGTGACAGCGCGTATCAGCAGGATCAAAACGAAGGCCGAGCCAGCGTTGCATTTACTCGATGCCTGCAAATTGTTGCGAACGGAAAGGGACAAGGAACGCGATTTGATATCGCAGAAGGAACAAGAGGAGGACACTATCACCGATTTACAAGTATATCTCCTTATGAAAAATTATAGATTTCTTGGGAAAATTTAACGTCGCGACTAAATGCTTTTCTATTCTCTCGGCAATCTTAATCTTACACATATCCAGAGCTCCCTTCAACGAGTCGAACGCGAGTTGCACGCTTTGAAGCGCGACAGCACCGGGCTCACACCACAGATCTTAATCCAACATCTGACAGAGGAAGTGACAGTACAATCGGCGATCGTGAAGGAGAAGCTTCCGTCTGAGTTAAACGCAAAGAAGAATCGGATGAGAGCGTTGTCGGTGGTCAAGGAATATTCTTACTTGGGTCCGGATAAAATTTTGACCATGAGAAACAATTTGGATGCGGTATTAAAGGACATACAAGACTTGGTGGAGTCCAAAGTGAGTGTGCGTCAAGAACGTTTTGAATATGAGGAATTTATTTAACGATAATGTATATATTGTACGGCGTCTCATTTGTCTCTTGCAAATTCCTTGATTTTTAGATATCTAAAAACGATATCGATAAAATGGGACCGTTTAGGCAGCAGGCCGCTGCTGTCGGAAATATGAAACGCAACGCTCTTGAACGTTTAGAAAAGATCGAAAGTTCCTTGGAGGAATTGCAATCGCGATTGAAAGAGAAACGGGATCATTCGAAAACTTTATTGGAGACATCAATACCTAGAGCGGAGGAACTGAAAAAGTATATCAATCGTTTGAAGACCAAAGGTACATTGTACAAGCGTTGCAAAGCGGAGATAGCGGGTCTAAAAGCCGAAAGCGGTGTACTTAATCGAACAGCAGCTATTCTAGATGGACAGGTAGATTGAAACTCCCGGATCTTCTTAAACTCAGATCAGTATAATGAATATGTATCGATGCTCTTCGTATTATGATTTCAGATAACTCATTCTTACACAACGAATGTTACATCTAAAGTGACAATTCCAGAAAGTTATACGCTGGATAATGCATTAGTGACAAATACTCAATTGTCTCATTCGATATTGGCTCTGCGAACCAATCTTGCCCCAGTCATAAGAGGTAATTTCACAAAGCTCTTTTTGCAAAGCAAAATTAAATAATGTTTATTTGCATCCGAATTTTAATATCAAAAGTGAGATATTATGTTAATTACATTTTCGTACGAATAAATTCATTGTTTGCGAATACCATCATTAGATAGTAAAACATATCGAAAAATCTTTTTTATTATTCTATATAAATAAATACATAATTCAGTCTACTGTAGATTTATTATAGATTTGTTATTTATGTACAGTAATTATGCATGTCTTATATATAGATATGAAATCATTACGGCAAGCATCACGTGAGACTGACGAGAGGTATCAAAAAGCATGCAAAAGTCATAACACGGTAGAAATGACTATGAAAAATACGACGAGCGATTTATTGTCCGAAACAAAACGGCTAAAGAACAAATTATTACAGGTAAAATTTATATACGTATGGAGAATATGGATTAACCGCGTTAAAATAATATTGCTTATTGCACTGTAGGACACCAACGATAAGAAAGAATTACAAGAAAAAATTGCAAAAATAAAGATTACCGAGGAAAAGCTACGTAATGAAGCAAAAGTAAATATGAAATTTTGGAAATAATATCTATCATTATACTTAATACATTTACAACAATATTTCTTTTTCAGACCAACAATGGTTTGAATAACGTAGGGCAAGCATTAAAACAGGAATTACATAATACGATTGTAAAAGAAGAAGAAACTTTAAGAAATTCGAATAAGGAACAAGAGAGGATAAAAGAACACACCATGCAGTACGAGAATAAAACGCAACAATGGAATAATATCATATCGTAAGCAATATTTTCTGTATATACATGTTCAACAAATACGTATTGGTCTAGCGAGTACTTTACAATTAACTTAATAGCAAAAAGCTTTGAATCTTTGATAAATCTATGTTAATAAAAACAAAATATTTGCACGTTTCAGAATTTTTTCTTGTAAAATTCAATGTGCAGAAGAAAGTAAACAGACTGATGGCATAGTTGTGCGAAGAGGAGGCGCTGAAACTCTTGTGTTGCAATAATATTAATATTCACTTGTTAAATATTTATTTGACATATTTTTAATAGAATGCTAGATATTTATAAATGTGTTAATTTAATAAATATTTTAAATATAAAAGAAAATATACACGATATGTTAAAAATATGTACAACGTACATTAAAAAGGAGTAATCTGTGTTTTACGTATTTATATCTATTTGTATATCTCTTTATCACGTTTTTTTGTGACGCGTATGAGATTTCCTTCAAGAATTAACAAAATTGAATTCAAGATTAAGACCTGACATCATCCTTTGCCGTGACCGTTTAAGCGACGACCTCTATTAGAGTCTGGACATTCGTATTGCTGCGATGTGTGAGGTGTCGGTGACGCCAGGGGAAAGTAAAGCCGCTCGCCTCGTGGCAATTAAATCGTAGACGGAGCTGACGGAGACGCAGTCTGACTTCGTTCGCGCACGAATGAATATACCACGTTCGCGTATATGTGTGTGTGCGTAACTCTCTACAATAGAATTTAGTCTCAAAAGTTACGAAGGTCATAACTTTTCTTAAAAGCAAACAAGCACGGACTCGGCATCTGTCAGTGTCTCCATAACAATCATCATGAAACATCAAGTTTTCATCGTTTTGGTCGTCACGCTCTTGCTATACGTCGGTAAGCTGTTCCTTTATTAATTCATCGAATGTTTCATAACTATTTATCGAGAAACGAATCAGGAAAAAGTGAAACGTACATCATGAATCAATTTATATGCGTGAAATAGAATCTTATATGTGCACAAAACTATTCGACAAAACTATTACTTGGTGGTTTTATAAAAGAGGATTATTTCAAACGACATATCTGTAACGGAATAAAACTGCGATAGTTCTGAGAGTTTTTATATTCAGAGGGAAATCAATACGATGTATCATGGATACGAGATAATTTTTGTAATAGATACACTATGATAGGAAATACAATTATATTTCGAGAAATTTATGTAAAGATTTTAATAAAGAACGAACACACTTACTGTTAAAGAGGAAATTAATCATTAAATACATGTACAACGTATGTAACGTTGATATCTCAAATGACCATTATGACCCCGTAAACGTGATAAATAACGTTAAAAATTATATCGACCCAATTTTAAAAGGTCATAGCTTTTCGATAAAAATTATATCGACCCAATTTTAAATGTGTCAATATCGAGCAGATTAGATTTGTCGACATATAATCTTTGTCTTATTTCTATTTTTCTATAACATTAATTCTCGTTTTTATTTCCAAAGACGTTCGCATTTTTTTCTCATTTCCTCAAACTTCTTTTTATAAAAAATACAATGCGAACATTATCCTAGCTTTTAATTATTTTTAGATTTCTCTTTTTATTATTTTTTCTATATATACGAATAGAGATTAATAATTATGTATTGAAATCATAAATTTTTTACCAGGTGTATAACAATATTACGTACGCTAAATGATTTTGCTTGTGCATGCACTTTTTTAAGATTTCAATAACTCTGATCAATCTTTCAGGTAATAGTGAAGCAGGATGGAAATTTTGGAAAAAGGACAAAGAGACTACTACTTCTACGACGACGACTACCGCTACACCGACGTCCGTACAATCGGTTACAACTCCGACAAAGGCTACAATTGTCGGAGGCCCGACGGTGCCGGCTGCAAACCCCGGAACTGTTGTAACAGGCACCGCTAACTCGGGACCAGCAATTGGCGTGGATAGTACTCGACCAAATGTACGAAATAATGCGCGACCCAATCGACCTAATCCAGGGACCGAAGTCGGTCTGGACATTGCCGTTCCGAGGCCAAACAAACCGGGAGTCGGTGGTGGAAATGGTCAGAGTTATCGGGATTGGGCTGTGGATTTTACGGGAGCTGGTGAACCAGGCCAAAATCAACCATCGAGAACACCTGGATTGGCGACTAATGGTGATCGGACGCGGCCCAATTCACCCACAGGTCACTTTGTACGAATAGCGTTTCCTTGCGAGCCATGATTTTTAAATGGATGAATACCCGAGTCTTAAATTCACATTTCCATTACTCACATGCATTCATATTTAAGAAAAGACATCGCAAGAAATGATTAAAATGTAATTAGATGCTTGCTTTCGCATAAATTAGTTATTCTACACATAAAAGTATTAAAATGATTGAAAAGTGAATATTTTATAATGCTTATGATCATTTTATGATTATATAGAATGACCAGGAAAATCGGATTATATATAAGAATTAAAAATATCGATAATGTTGACATTTTATGAAAAGACATGCCGTAAAAAATGTTGCATGCATTATATATGTATAATGAATATTTACGAATTGAGTTGTCTTGAATGTTTTAGATTTAAGACCAACATCGGTATCAGGAAACATACCGGTTCAACCGACGCAGCCGTCAGTTGCAGGTTCTTATATTATTCGATTTAAAGGATTTTAAACAACGTTGAAATTTTTTTGTCATATAAAAATCTGTTTAACTCATTTTTACAGGCTCGAGAAATACGCCTCAACCACTGCCTCGATCAACGAGTACAGGTTACTATCTGATAATTACTAATATGAAATCAAGATTTTAAATATAAGTATTATATGAAATATTTAAATTTTATAGCACCGAAGCCGACTTCTGCGCCGTCCGTACAGCCCCATGTAACGCCTGGTAAATTTCTCTACACACATTAGCTCACACATTCGCAGCAGTTTCTACAATAAAATAATCTCAAATGAAATCTAATACATCTTCAGGATCTACTACTACTGCAATACCACCTGCCAGAGCGGGTCAGAACGGTCCTTCCAGTCCAAATAGACCTTCAAGTGGACAAACGTGGGCTAATGTCGTCGCTGGTGGTACACGCGGGTCTGCTTCACCTACAGGTCTTCCGAGGCAACCTGAATATCCAGGTATTCTTTTAGAATATTCAAGTACGGGATGTATGGCGATTGTTTTAAATAAGTTTTAATTTGTTAGTTATAGATTTCAGAGTTCTCAAAAATTAGTGTATGATGAAAATATTTCTGAAAAAATATAACATTTTCGAAAAATCTGAATACCCCGTTATAAAATGCCTTTGAGAGTAAAAGTATATTAAATTGTTCAAAATATTTTTGCATATTTCTTGTTGCTTCGATAATATGTATATATATCAGAAACATGAAAGGCGATTTTTTCAAAGGGAATTTTTACCTCTTTAATATACGTAAGAGCACTTGCAAAAAGATACGTATTTTTAAATGTATACTACAACAGATTGAAAATTCATAAAAATTGGGGAAAGCAGGGAGGAAGCATACTTGGATATATTTTCTAGTACGAACACAATAAATCTTACAGTAAAAATGTATATAGTTGAAAAATAGTTTAGTGCAACAGAGGGATTTATGTATTATCCTTTGGGTATGAATCAGGTGGAAACGAACGCAGGACTTTGCCCGGAGCACCAACGCGACCTGATCAATCTCCTCAGCCCAATCGTCCAGCATCACCGGGAGCTGGTGGTGCTGCTGCCGCCGCCGCTGGAGCAGCAGGTGGTGCTGCTGCCGTCGCTGGAGCAGCAGCTGCTACGGATCGTGTATCAGACCCAACTAAGAAAGTGTATTCCAGCAATCCGACATATAGCAAAGGAAATACCGTCACCGACGAGGATTTAGAAAAGCTTTCCGAGGCGCTTTACATCAAAGAGACGAATAATAATGCAAACCAACATATAACAGTTAATTTGCAAAAGCAGACCACCAGCAGCAGCCTGACGGATCAAGCTCCGCAACCGTAAAAATCATATCTGATAATAGAATATATGCAAAATTTAAAAAAATGAGGATATGTAGAAAATGACAAATTTTTTAGAAAAACATTTTAAATGAGTAGTAATTGGCATATGATTCAAAAACATAAAGGCGGAATATATACAATTGACAGAAACTATTATTAGATGTAAAATCACAGATGATCGAGAATATCAATATTTGTTCTGTGGTATACATCGGCCGAAATTTATTAATTATCTTTCCCACTTACATTCGCTTCTTATGTCCCCTTCTTCTCTCTCTCAATATCTTTTTTAATTCATTTCATTGTATAATTGCAGGCTACTTACAGTGAATCCTGAAGCTCTCCAGATTCCTACGGTTCAAAGAGTCCTCTCAATATTCGACAATTATCAATTAGACACTCATACAAACGAGTACATTAGTCCAGCTCAAAGACAGGAAGAAAGTCTCCTCGTTGATACTTTTCTAAGTACAAATGTGATGTCTGCTGCCATGCGTTTTCTCGCAGATAAAGGATTCGTGAGACAGGATTATTATGAATATAAGGACATATTAAGAAGAATTTGGTTCAATCTATTTTCGCGTGGGCAGGGTAGGATCGGCAGTACTGGATTCGAGCATGTCTTTATGGCGGAAACGAAACAAGTGGATTCGGGTACAGAGGTACTTGGGCTACACAATTGGATCTTCTTCAACGCGGAAGAAACGAAGAGGCACATCGACTATCTGGGCTACATTAAGAAAAAAGATTTAGGAAATGTAAGCATTTTTCGATAAAGAAAGCTTAAGTTGCGAAATCTCTGCTTTATCATATCGACCGATTCAAACATCGAGAATTGGATAAACGTTAGTGCAATCTTTTCTTTTCGCAGAAGGGATCTGTCATCAAGATGCATGCAAAATTCAATGGGTACGACAAACCGGTTGCGAGTATGTTCGTCGGAACTTCGCCCGAATTGGAGATGGCACTTTACACCGTCTGCTTCTACGCAAGACCAGATGGAAATTGCCCTGTATCCTTAGGAGGCACAAAATTCAACATAATAACACGGAAATTTAGATACCGTGGAAAAGATTTAATCGGTACGGCATACCCGGACATTTAAATTCAGTGTAAATATATCAAATTTGACGATGTAATAGAATGCATAGATATAGAGTTGTTCATACTTATAACATGCCTATAATTAAAATGACATTGCAATGGTTGTATATTATAAATACATACTTTGTATATTTAATTCCGATTCAAGATTCTGACAAAATGTGTGATCAAATAAATATTATATGTAAAAATAAAATGCGAGCATGCCAAGTTTTTAAGCGTTCTCTTGATTTTAAGACCGTTTTATATGACTTAGAATTTACCTGAAATCACAAAAGAGTCGCAGAAATATAAAATATAATTCTATTAATTAAACATAATACGTAATATTTTCAAAGTATTATTTTTTAAGACTTAAGTTTGTCTCACTAATTAAATTGATTTTATATCTATTTTTGCATTCGGAATACAAAGAATGTAAAAAATAGAAGAAAGCGAGACAGATATAATATATTGAGCTAAAAGTGAGTAGCAATATAATGAGAAACAGATGTTCTGAAAGCGGATGCGGATGAAGTGAAACGAGAAAATGTCATTGGGTAACAAGTTAAAATATTCTACTGCAGTATAAGAGAAAGCTTGGAACTCCGATGGATGATAAAGAGGGTAAGATAGAGACTGTACGAGAACGTGATTGAAAGCGTATATTGGATAACGAGGTAGAGTAAAATTCCTGGTTGTAGGTACTTAGAAAAGACAATCACGTAGATAGGATGGAATATTTGAAGACTAGATATAAACGTGAAGGATGAATATTACTGGTTGGTATATATTCAAATTGTAAAAACGTGAAAGAAAAACGTGATTAATTAAATTACAAATATTTAAAAGAATTAGATGTAGAAAAATTTTAATAAATTAAAAAAAAAACGATAAAAAAGAAATTTCTTATAGTAATGCATATGGATTAACTTACATTTTTGGCTACTAACAATAGAAAAGTATTTTTTTTTAAATATTCAACAATACTTTTGTTTGTTACAAAGGTTACTTATATAAAATTTTAAAATTAAGTGTGAGAACTTTCTAGCCTCCTAGATATGCCCACGCAGTCCCCTAAGTCGAAATTGGAAATATTGAGATTTTAGTTTTTTTTTTTTTTATAACTGATGCAGAATAGATATTTAATATTTCAATATTTATTTGTGTAACACTGTAACAGAGGAAAGTAATGGCAAGTCCGATGAGCTCTATATGTTTTTCAGAAAGATAACATAAGTAGTGAACAGATAGAGAACGTAAACAGATAAGGAACGCAACAAGTTGAAACAGCATATGATGCAGTACATAACGTAAGAAAGGGTATCACGGAGGAGGGGAGACTGATTTCATTAGTATGACGTTAAATCGACGTAAGAGCTTCACGCTTATTGCAGTCGAACCAACAATCGTCGTGAGAACGCTTCATCAAAAATGTACGCGATTGAAAGACTCGTGCTGAGAAACAGCAACCCGTGCTTTGGATTGAAATGGTCGACTTCTTGTGTCAGTGGTAAATCGTATCATAGTGAAAATGCTGTTTACGGATATAAGCCGAGTCAACGAAGACACTTCGAAGGTATTTGCCTTATCGAAGAATTGAACATAATGCTGGATCTAATCTTTTTTTTGTTATGGAATTCGAAGTTTTTACGCGAAATGTATATAATTATATTAAATTAAATTAAAATTATAGAACGTTTTATCAGAAATCGAATGCATGCAAATTCATGCTCGTTGTGTGCATCGTTATGATTCGCGTTCTAGATTCACTTCGTTTTAGAAATGTGAATTTCTATTGCGATAAATAAAATATGGCAAACTGTTAAATACGCTCGATAATGTATATAATCGAAACGCGTTATCTTATTAAGTATATATATTGAAGATTCGAATAATAATTATGTATTAATATAACGCGTAATTTTACATGCGATAAAGAGCTTCACAACTTTATTTGATTTTATCTACGAATTTGAATTTGACTTTTAAAACTCACGGCATGTGAATGATTATCACTAGCGTCTTTTTTAGTGCCAAAAAAATATCTGGATGAACGAGCGAAACAGAGCAATTTCTACAGACTAGTCAGTGCGTATAGAACTCATGGACACAAGCAAGCCGATATAAATCCCATTTCTACTAGCAAGCCACAGCTATTATCTGAATTGCAACCAAAAAACTTTGGACTAAATTTACTGGATAAAGTCCGTTTTCGAGGAATTTTGTTCACACAGCAAGATGAAGGAACAGTGGAAGAAGCTATTCGATTTTTACATGCTACCTATAGCGGTACCGTGGGAATTGAATTTAGTCATCTTGAGGTAATTTGCAAATTCGACAGAATTCCAGTGTTATGTATGAAAATCAGGGAGTTTATCTCTTAAAAATTACGCCTGCGTTTACTGCATTGAAGATTTGAGAGATTGAAAAATAGCTTTTGTTATCTGCCGTAATATTTTGACGATAAATCGTGATTAAACTGTTGATAAGGGAATTTTGATTTCGAGTAGACGGAAGAAGAAAGGGAATGGTTTGCCGAAAACGTGGAAACAATTTTAGCCGAGCCATTGAACAATGAAACGCGTAAAATGATAGCTACGGAAATGCTCAAGAGTCAGGCTTTTGACCACTTTCTAGCCATAAAATTTGTCAGTCATAAGAGGTACGGAGCAGAAGGAGCCGAGAGTATGATGGCCTTTTTTCATGAGTTTTTCAAACAATGTGCCTGTGGTAATTAACGAACATTTAGTTAAATTAGAAAAATTCTTCTTCTAAAAAGATTCTTCTAAAAAAAGACGTATACCAAGTATATAAAATATACATATATATACTTCTATCCACAATAGGTCTACACAAATTTTGGAAAATTAAAAACACTTAAATTATATTAATACTAAAAAATTATATTATTATTCAAAAAACAGATATAAGATTAAATTAATTAGCCAAGTTTAGTTAAGTATTTGATAAAAAAAAATAAATTTTCTTTAAAAACGTTAACTCTTTTTTTCTGCTTCCTTGCTGTTAGGATTCAAATTCATTCTTAACAGATATAATGATTTTTCAGTAGCAATAATAGCACTCAATTCGCAAAAAATTTTACTTAACTGCTATGTTATCATTTTAGATAATTTGGAACGCGTGATTATTTGCTCTGCACACCGCGGCCGTCTTAATCTATTAACGGGACTGATGAATTTTCCACCAGAAATATTATTTCGCAAATTACAAGGACTTTCCGAATTTCTGGACGCGACCAAGTGTACCGGAGATGTGATTAGTCACCTCATAAGCTCCACCGATCTTAATATAGACCAAAAAAATCTTCACGTAACCATGCTTCGAAATCCATCGCATTTGGAAGTAGTAAATCCCGTGTCGATGGGAAAAACGCGAGGAGATATGCAAGCGATTAAAGAAGCCGCATACAGCGATAATGAAGATGCGCAATGGAGCGACAAAATACTAAATATTCAGGTAATTATATTGTGATATAGTAAAGATTTTCGTCAAGATAATTCGTGAAGATATTAAACATTATATTATTTTATTATTACATAGTTCAAGATAGTAATCATTTTCAGCAGTTTCTTTATCCTGAATATAATTAAATAGAATAGAATTAAAAGAATGATTCTCCTCTCTAAATTTTTTTATTGACTCGTATTGTTTCTTTATTATATTCCAAAATGCAATCTGTTTGCATTATTATATAATATTTCAAATATTCAGATACACGGAGACGCTGCCTATTCAGGGCAAGGGGTTAATCAGGAATGCTTAGTTTTAAGCAGAACGCCGCATTTTGAAATCGGTGGTACAATTCATTTGGTAATTAATAATCAATTAGGCTTCACAACTCCACCTTCCCAGGGTCGATCGTCAAGGTATTGCACAGATTTAGCGAAAACTATATCTGCACCTGTAATTCACGTGAACGGTGACAATCCTGAGGTATATACTGTTGAAGTAAAACCCCTTTATATTCGCTAACATCATTCGTTAATAGTGAACTTTTAATTATAATTTCAAAATACATTGTAGATGGTTGTACGAGCTGCAAGAATAGCCTTTAAATATCAAAGACAATTCAGAAAGGATGTATTTGTTGATCTAAATTGTTTCAGAAGATGGGGTCACAATGAATTAGATGATCCTACATTCACCAACCCTCTCATATATAAAATTATACAAAATCGTGCGTAAGTACACATAGAAGTTATAGAAAAAAAACTATTCAAGACTTTAGAGATATGCATATAATACCAGATTAAGGCTCCTTTAATGACTTAAAGAACCGTAACATAGTCTATTTATCTATTATAAATAATAATTTTAATATAAAAAGAATTATCAATAAATAAGTTAATATTTTATAATATTCATAAAATATCCATAATAATTACAAAATAATATAAATCTCTCTTTTAATACAGATCTGTACCAGATCAATATGCGGAGAAGCTAGTAGACCTCGATATACTTACTCCAGAAAGTATTAAAAATATCATCGAAAATCACACAGCGTGGTTGAATAAGACCCTAAAAGAATCTTCGAAAGACATATCGGCACAGTCAACCACTTATCTTGCTGGAAGATGGACGAAAATGAAACAAGCTGAAGCCAATATAACACAATGGGATACTGGCGTCGAGCTAGACTTGCTACGATTCGTAGGAGAAAAAAGTGTTCGAGTGCCATCGAACTTCGTAAGAATATATCTCATATATAAAATATCTCCACGCACAACGAAAGAATTACCACTACATTACGTACTCTTTTATAAAAAACTAAAATTTTATATAGTCTCAACTCTTTCATATTATTTAAAATAGTAAAGATACTTAAAGCGCTCAGTCAGATGGAATCCTGCATATTGTGTATAATCGATAAAATATAATTATTTTTTTTTTTTTTGTAATTCAGGATGTTCATCCACAATTGTTAAAGAATCATATTCAGAGTCGTCTAAGAAAGATCGATAATGGTAACGCTTTGGACTGGTCGACTGCCGAAGCATTGGCCGTCGGTTCTTTATTATATCAAGGATATAATGTGAGAATAAGCGGGCAGGACGTGGGCCGTGGCACTTTCTCACAGAGGCACGCAATGCTCGTTGATCAATCTACAGGAGGTGTAGCTTGACATATAATCGAACAAATGTTTACATAATTCAGCTTTATCGAGACTGTTATTATCATGCAGATCTATTGAAACTACGATTATTATACAGACATATGAATTTTTAGCCATTTTTATTCCACTGAATTCGATGGTTGATGATCAAACTGGCAAATTAGAGGTAGCTAACAGCATTCTATCCGAGGAAGCTGTGCTAGGTTTCGAATACGGTATGAGTATAACATCGCCGTTCACGTTGCCTATTTGGGAAGCACAGTTCGGGGATTTCTTCAATGGGGCGCAAATAGTTATCGATACGTATATAACAAGTGGAGAGGCAAAGTGGATGCTGAGCAGCGGCCTAACAATGCTTTTACCACACGGGTACGATGGTGCTGGTCCGGAGCACAGTTCATGTAGACTCGAAAGATTCTTACAATTAACGGACAGTAAGGAGAACGGTGTTGATGGCGATGATGTTAATATACATGTTGCGAATCCCAGTGAACCAGCACAATATTTCCATTTATTAAGAAGACAGGTATTGGAAGGAAAAAGTATACATTAGTGAAAACTAGAAGGGATTTAAATACTCGCGAAAAGTTTCTAAGTGATAAAATAAATTTTTAAATAAAATTGAAATATTTATGAATTTATAGATGATAAGAGATTATCGGAAACCTCTGATCGTGGTAGCGCCTAAAATTTTATTACGTCATCCGGCAGCAGTGTCATCCTTATCGGATTTTGAACCTCGGACGAGCTTCAAAACCATTATCGGTATGTTACATTTCTGTGGAATATCTTGCAAGATATTCCATGTTAACTTTTTTGTTAACTTTGATACTTATATACGTAGTAAGATAATGAGAATAATGAGATCGATATAACAGAAATATATAATTGTGTTTAAAAAAATTGTACATGTACTTTACAGGGGATGATAAAGCAGAAAAAGGCAATGTAACTAAAATTATTTTAGTTAGTGGAAAACATTATTACGCACTTGACAACTATCGAGAAACTTCTGGAGACAAGAATGTAGCTATTATCAGAGTAGAAAATTTATGTCCCTTTCCTGTCCACGAGTTACTAGAGGAGATTGCAAAATATAAACATGCAAAAAGTAAGTGGAGAAATGTAGTTGTTCGATACAATCAAAACTGTATCAAAAACATGGACCGTTTCTAAATAAACATTTTATGTTTCTTGTGGTTTCAGCCTTTATTTGGAGTCAAGAAGAACCACGAAATATGGGCGCATGGAGTTTTATTAAACCACGTTTTGAGAACTTATGTGGACGACAGGTAAATTGTATTAAATTATAAAAATTAATATGTAAATATATAATGAATATTAACATTCATTTTTTTAATCAATTTTTTTACTTGTGAAAAGCAATAAGATAAATGTGTGCACATACGTATTTTATCATTAACTTTTTTACGATATAATACGACATAATTTTTAGTTGAAATATTGTGGTCGAGAATCGATGGCAGCACCAGCTGTTGGAGATGGACAAATGCATCAACAAGAAGCTAACGAAGTTATTGTTAAACCATTTACATTGAAATAAAAACTAGAAAATATTTACTTCAAATATAATATCTCCTAACTAAATTACATTCAATAAAACTAGTTATGTCTTAGATTAATTTCATTAATTTCGTTAATAGAAGGATATGTCATAGAAGTACAAAATATTATGGACATTATCATTTTTACTTTAATTTGGCAATAGGTATACATTTCAGAAACTAGAATTAAGCATATAGATTATTGAAAAAAATACAGCACTTTTTTCTTATTTACAATATAATTTCAAATATGAATTTCATTTAAAATTCATTTTTACAACGCACTTGATTTGTTATACAGTACAAGAATCCGATAATAAATGACTAACAAGAATAGAATCAATAGTAAAATACCTAATTCTGCACATTAACATTTGTTTAATTTTTTATGAGAAGCAATAAGATAAATTAACGGATATTTATAAATACATTCTTAAATTAACCGTATTATATATCTTATTTTAAAATTCCAACAATATTTCTCGTCGCCTATTTTAAGTAAAATTTTATCTTTATAACTTTTTTTTCAGATGACATAAATCGTTAATAAAACGATAATCCATTTATTCCTTCTAGAAGAAAGCACTACCAATTATCGTTACCCAATTAATATCAGTTAATTGTCGCTTTTGTCTTCTGCTTTTAAACTTTCACGTTCTCTTTGCATGAGAGCTTGCAATTCATCCTAAAATTATAAGTTGCATCTTAGCCTTTTCTACGTATAAAAATTTCATATTTTACTTCAATACTTGTTAAACATGCAGTTAGTAATTCACATTCTAAAATGAACATGAAATAATACAAGATAAATAGGAGTAAAAAAAATATGTTTTACCCTCCAGCCAAGTTTGTCTGCTAACAGCTGACAACCTGTGTCACAATCACCCAACCAGGCTACGTCACGTCCCCCATGCGCGCTCTTGGCATCAAATACTAAGCCCTGCCGCAATCCTAAGAATCGTGATAGACGATCTTGCATACCCACTTTTTCATTGTTGATGAGTAAACGAGGACAAGTGGTTCGTACTCTTAAAAACAAAATTATATTCAAAAATGCATATATATTTCTTTTCTAATAATTTTTGTAAAACTATTTTTAATATTTATGTATACCTATCCACTAGCGATGCAAAAGGTTGCACTACTAAACTTGATCCCATGATAATCAAAAGATCAGCCTCTACGAAATCTCGATCAGCAAGTACTTGGAAACGTTCAGGGAGCATTTCACCGAAGAAGACTATGTCAGGTTTCACAACACCTTCATCGCACTCTTCACATTTTGGTATTGCACCTTCTATTATTTTTTCTATCATTTAAATAAACTTACAATCAGTATTTGATCAATTAATCGCTAACATCTTACTTTTTATAAGACTGTTCTGCATTTACCTTGTAATAAACAGACAAAGAATATAAAATTCATATTTAGTAAGACTCAGGTTATTGTATTTAATATTTAACTTTATTAATATATTTAACGCTCATTTTTATTTTATTTGTTAATAATTTTTTAATAAATAAGCAATGTTTAAACTGTTTAAAGATGGCTCAGGATTATGACTTTGGCAACATGTCCGAGGTTATACAAGTTAAATATCCTTTCCTAAAGTTTCAATTATAATAAATACTTAGTAGTATTTAGTTTACATATTATCTCAAAGTTTACAAATTTTCAATTTAAAATTTTGAATAATATCTAGATAATACACAACATGATGAAGACTCTTCTCACACGCATGATAAACAAACGCTATTCTCATCCATTTGTTTCAAATAAATCTACTTAATGCGAAAAAAAAATAGAAACATCATAAAAGTATACCTTTCATCCATGGAAGTGTATATGGTGCTCGGCACTTGAGACAATGACCAGTGTGAAACGTTCCATGAGCCTCCACTAGTTTTTCAGATGGCAATCCAGCTACACGTTCCAGCGTATCAATATTCTGCGTGTAATGCCGTAACAATAAACCTTTCTCCCACAGTAGGCGAATAAAATAATGGCTTATCGTAGGTTTGAAGCCTTCCGGCAACAATTCTCTCGCAAGAGTGAAGAATGGCTCTGGATTCTTCATGAAAAACTCTAACTCGAAAATTGCTTGCGGATGGGGTAAATTATATTTGTCTAATTTATGGTAAAGTCCACTGGATGGAGACCGAAAATCTGGTATCCCAGCAGCTGTAAAAAAAAAGTATGCGTGTGTGTGTATATACATTTATGACATTAATAATTATAATCAGTATGTAAGCATTGATATATATTTGCCATTGAAATATAAAAACTAACAGTTATGACTCTCGTAACAAAATACGAAACATTACATGTATATTTGATAGGATATAAAACAACCACAAAATAATTAAAACATGTAGAAGACATATTGTTATCAAATAATTTATTACAAATCCATTGGTAAAGAATTTGACATATGTAGAATATATCTTTGATGTGCTTACAGGTAGAAATGCCAGCGCCTGCCATAGTGATGATTTTGCAATTCTCATTTTCCTTAATGTATTCGACAATCCCGTCCAAACTGAGCTTGCGAAGGGTCGGCTGCAATTGTGACTCGTCACTTTGCTCACCCGCCGGCAGGTCGACGAGTCTTAACTTTTGAGCCAGGTATCTGCGTAATCTCTCCATCTCGGAACAATCTTCTACGTCCGACGATTCAGATGAAGCGTTTTGTTTTTCCTCATTTAGATTATCGTCTGAAAACAAATGACGGAACTGACGTCTTAAGAAGTACGCACATTATTTTATACAGGGAAAGTGTAGCATCCAAACTATGCGACATATTGTAGGGATGTCCGAATAATTCGAAGAGATGACTCTTGGGTAATATGTATATTTAATGAACTTT